AGGATGTCTGGCAGTTTCTTCTGTGAAGCAGGAACCCTGAAGGACCATCCCACCTTGTTTTGGCAAAGTTCAGTGGTCATTTTCCTGTGGGTTCTGCATGTCCAGTTTATACAACATACTGCCAAGCAGTCCAGGCAAGAGCAGCTTTTTGCCCAATTTGCCTTGCCACATTGAAAGCAAACTCCATCAGGAATTTCTTTGATGTCCATCATCTCTGAAGTAAGTTGGTACTGCCAGGAGCAGATGTGTCTCATTGTCATGGAAAGCCCTAAGTTAAAAAAAATTTAAATACCATATTCTCTAGGTCTTTGAAAGTTTGAAGACTATCTATCTATCTAAAATAGATCTCTGTATGATCTGGAAAGCATACCTAACATATCTACAATTTTGATTGTTACTAACCTATGTTACTGATTATCCTATATAGTTTATAATAATAGCTTTAAAAAACTACATTTCCAAATGAACTGCATAGGCACAATGCCTCAAACAAAAATAGAAACATCCATACAGTGTTGTAACAAAAATAACCTTAAATTTTTATCAATATATAAAAATCCTTTAAACAAGAGTAGAAATATATATACAGTGTATCAATATCCTATATTCCCCTAATGATAACAAACATCCATAACCCACCAAATAACCAAAAACCACCCACACCCCCCAGCTCTTGGGAATGTGGACATAGTTTTCTCTCAACTGCTTCCTGCTGGCTATGGGTGATGGCATCTTTAGGGGTCCCTGCGAAAATTTTAGATAATGACCAAGTCCTGGGAAAACCAGAAGTAACCTTTGTTGATAGTTATCACCTGTCAAGATTCAGGATCAAACCTGATCCATATTATTCCTGAAGGAATCCACAACCTCTCGTCTCCTGTGGGACCAAAACTCCAAAGCATTTTTGACTTCCATTTGACAAATAAATTTTTTGACTTTTTAAAAGTTAAGGCATTCCTAAAGTATCTAGACTGGTTTATTTCATCAGTCCCTCTTCCAATCCCATGTCTCTTAGCAGCTGTTGTTTGATTATTAACAATCAAAAAATTCAAAATAACACAATAGAATACAGGATCCAGACTCCTTGTGTGTTTCCCATCTTATGTGGCTTTTTTATTTTATATTACTTTTACTCTCTCTTTAAAGACTTTATTTTTAAACTATTTCTTTCTATGACTGTCTATACCCATATTCTTTCTTTTTTTTAATTATTTAATTTTATTTCATGTACATTGGTGTCTTGCCTGCAGGTATGTCTGTATGAGGGCATCAGATCCCCTGGAACAGAAGTTACAGACAGCTGTGAGCTGCCATGTGGGTGCTGGGAATTGAACTCAGCTCCTCAGGAAGAGCAGCCAGTGCTCTTAACGGCTGAGCCATTTCTCCAGCCCCATATTCTTTCTTTCTTAAGCCTACCCACATTGTAAAACACAGAAACCTGTTTAGAGTTTTTTTCCATCTGGACTCTTTTACTGTGTATCTTTTAGCCTTTTTTGACTGTGTGAGCAAACCTTTAAATTGCTAACAGACACCTGGATCCTCTGCATGACTCTCTTGGCTTCTCAGGTAGTGAAAGCCAAGTCTAAAGCTCACATCCTGGTCAGAGGTTCATGACCAAGAACTGCATTCAACCTTCTTAGAGTTCTAGAATGCCGATGTTTGCACTGTGGCGGGCATTTTTTAACTGGTTTTTTTTTTTTTTTTTTTTTGGTTTTTCAAGACAGGGTTTCTCTGTGTAGCTTTGCGCCTTTCCTGGAACTCACTTGGTAGCCCAGGCTGGCCTCGAACTCACAGAGATCCGCCTGGCTCTGCCTCCCAAGTGCTGGGATTAAAGGCGTGCGCCACCACCGCCCGGCTATTTTAACTGATTTTTTACTTAGTTTTTTTTGTTCCTACTTAACATACTAGCTGCTCAAGAGCTCACTGTCTGGCAGAAACTACCTGGCAAAAATTCTTAAAGGAGCCATACTTTTTTAAGCTTTCTTGGGCTCTATGGAAATTTGAGTCCCAGGTTGGGTGCCAAAATGTTGTTGGATTTTCTTTTACTCTTTTGGGGGACCCACCACCCAGCTCCCAAATAAATCACAAGTGGTGGCTTATTCTTTATAAATTATAAATGCCTGGCCTTAGCTTGGCTTGCTTCTTTCCAGCTTTTCTTAACTTTAACCCATCTGTCCTTTGCCTCTGGACTTTTGCCTTTCTCTATTTTTGTATTCCTTTCTCTCTTACCCCATGACTGGCTGTGTAGCTGGGTGTCTGGCCCCTGATGTCCTCCTCCTTCTCTCGCTCCTAGATCTCCCCTCTCCCAGATTTCTCCTTCTGTTAATTCTCTCTGCTTGCCAGCCCTGCCTATCCTTGCTCCTGACTTGCTATTGGCCATTCAGCTCTTTATTAGACCATCAGGTGTTTTAGACAGGCACAGTAACACAATTTCACAGAGTTAAACAAATGCAACATAAACAAAAGTAACACACCTTAAAATAATATTCTACAACAGATGTCAAACAACTTTGTGGAGTCAGTTTTCCTCTACTTTTAAATGAGTTTTGGACATTAAATTCAAGTTACTGGCTTCATAGGCAAATACTTCTACCTGCCTGCCATGCTTCAGTGTCTTAACATAAAAAAACTGAATGCTGGGGGGTGTGGTGGCATACTTGTGATCTCAGCACCCTGGAGGCTGAAGTGGGAGGATGAATTCATACCATCTGCAGTCCTCCTGAGGAATTTTATCTGCAACTATGTATCCCAGGGAGTGCTCCTCTCTGGGTTCCTCTAGCCATATATATGTGCTTGGGTGACCCTCCCTGCCTCCTCTGTGAGGCACAGCCCCTCTCCTTTGTAAGATGCCCCCACCTCATAAGGCTCATTACCCTCCTCCATGAGGTACAGCCCCTCTCCCTGAGGTACAACCTCCCTTCTCTTTGTAGCACCCCTGCCACAACTGTTCATTTGCCGTCCTATCCTGTTGGCAACTCCAGGCTACAATTCCACCTATGTTGCCTTAAGCTGCCACTCCCAACTGTGCCCTCACATTTGGGTCACATCATGTTGGTAAATGGCTATGGCCTACCACCCCTAGCGAAAGCTCCCCAACTTCCTCCCAGGCTGCCTGCCAACCTCAAATATGCTTTTTTATTTTTAAGGTTTATTTATGTATTTTATGTACAGAAGTGTTGTTGTCTGCATGTACAGCTTCATACCAGGAAAGGGCATCAAATTCCATGAGACTACAGTTATAGACAGTTGTGAGCTATCATGTGGTTGCTGGGATTTGAATTCAGGACCTCAGGAAGAAGAGCCAGTGATTTTTAACTGCTGAGCCGTCTCTCCAGCCCCTCCAAATATGCTCTTGACATGCACCCCACAAGCCTTCTGGGACCAGAATGCACTGTGTCTTCAGGACACGAGACTATCTGGCTAGCTGGCCTCAGCTGTACCTGCTCACCTTCTACCCAGCCACTTGTCTTTACCTCTGCTCTTCTGGACTCTGTGCCCGAGTGCCCCATCTCTGACCTTTTGAAGGGTTCAGAAGTAAGCCAATAGAGAATCTTCCAAATAGATTGTGAATGGCTGCTGCTTTGGAATTCTCATGGTCTCTAACTGCACTCTTCTGGTTTCTAGGGCCTCAAGGTGTACCTGGTGTCAGCAAAGATGGTCAAGATGGTGCTCATGGTGAGCCTGGCCTTCCTGGTGATCCTGGCCTTCCTGGAGCTGTTGGTGCTCAGGGAACCCCAGGGATTTGTGACACCTCAGCCTGCCAAGGAGCTGTGTTAGGAGGGGGTGGGGAAAAGTCAGGTCCTCGGAACTCATAAACAACGTTAGGAAATGACGGGTAACGAACTCCAGCAGGCAGCAGGTACCAGTCGTGTGGTTACTAGAAATGGACAGTACGGCTGGTTACAGTCAGCTAGTCCTTCCTGGCCTGCTGCCTGGGCCCCCAAGAGCATCTACTGGCACCACTGTCACTGTCCCATCTACAGGATTAACGGCAGTCAATTCATCTGTGACAGCATACCTCAGGCACAGGCCCTAGAGATGGAGACTTTAAACCAAGCATCTGGAAGGGATGGTGTATTTTTTTTTTTTTTTTTTTTACAATTTCATGAGATAAAAACACTCAGAGACTTGTTTACATAACATTTATATAAAGCCTATAATAGACTACCAATAAAGCAATCTGCTAACCCTTCAGACTAGCACTGGCTACAGTGTGATGAAGGTGAGGAACTTAATGTCTACTTCACCTGCTTTCTATTCCAAACCTACTATCTCTGGCTCCCAGTATTTATTGAAGGAACTACACTGCACCGTCTGTACAATAAATAAAGCTACTCACTGGAAACCTCTGTTCCAAACATACAATTTATTACACATAAAGCAATGACTCACAATATGGAAATGTGGGCATTGAAGCAATCTACTGAGAAAATGTTTATGGGCAAAAGGAGCTTTAAAAGAAGTCTCTGGAAAATTCTTAGCAAAAAGTTTTAAAATGGCACTGCATTTTCCAATACAGAGTACCATGAGACTGGAAATAGGGGGGTGATAGAACAAATGAAATAAAGTTTCCAAACCTCTTCTAGTTAAGAACAATTTATCTTCTTCCAATTGCTAAAGGGGCATATTTAAAAAGTAAACAAAATAAGTAAACGGCAATGTTTTCTTTAGTCTTGAGACTCAAGAAATTACCAAGGATGTTAATTTTTTTAAGTTATCATGTTAAGAACACATGATGGTGTCGGACAGGTAATTGAAAAATTACTAATTATCAAGATGTCTTCATCCTCAAATGGTCATCTGGACATTAGTGGGTAAGTATTTTGCTTAGATAAATACTTTCACAAAATGTGCTCTCAAAGTCCTTACTGGAGTCCCACCAACTGGAGCTGCATCCCTCTTGAGGACTCAGAGCTGAGCTCTGGGATGGCAGGCATGTGTATGATGCCGAAAGAACGGCAGTTCTCTCCCAGGTCCTGGGTCAGTCCAGTCACTTGATCTCCATGGCGGGGCTGCTCTGCAGACTGCCCTGTGCAGGGCAGGTCACCAGGGATTCGGGTCTGGTCAGCTTTAGCCTTCTGCCAGTCTTACCGCAAAACACGCTCTCAAATTCCTAAAGTCAAGAAGTGATCATTAATGCACTGAGTTCAAAGATGTGAACGCTGCTAGTTTCAAAAGCACAAGAGGCTGAAATTAGGAGCCATGTAAAGTATCTCAAAGTATGAGCTAAGGTATCACAAATGTCACACCTTGGTAAGGAGGTATGTGAGAAAACAGGAAAAAAAAATTTCCCTCAATAGCGGTTATACTGTATTTTTTTAAAAGAGTTTCCAATAAATTCTCAGTGTCTGAGTATATGCCAAAATGGCCATTTTTATGGTTAAAAAACATAAAATATACCATTTTCATCATTTGTATCCAGGTCGGTGGCTGTCCCTTCACACACACTGCTGAGGATCCTTGGTCAGCCAAGGACTAGGTACAGTCCCTGCACACAGTGAGACCAAGAGCAACTCCCTGCAAGGCTGCTAGTCTCTGCTTATTCACCCGGCTTCCCCTGCCTTTTAAAAGGCCTTAGGTCTAAAGTCTCCACAAGGCTGGCCCCCTAAACACAGGGTTGGCCTCAATGTCACCAGATAGCTACACCAAGTCTGATGGCCCAAGTATTGGGAGGGTGGGGGAGACACTCAAGAAGACTAGCCTAGAAGATGCAGGAAATAAGTAATTAACCATTTCTATGAATTTGTGAAATGCAGAATGTGGGAATTCCTACAAGATTAAGTGACCCTGAGAGGAAAGGGACCAGTATTTGGATTTCAATTCAAATACACAAATGAGTGCAGAGGCAGACATCGGAATAGCTGTCTACAAATGAAAGAAAATAGCAGGAAGTGCTCTAACTCACTAAAGTGGGAGGAGGCTGGGTTCATGGATGTGGGCCTTCACTGTTCTATTGTTTCTGTTCATGTTTAGAAATTTTTTTCTTTTTTTATGTATAGTGTTCTAGACTCATAAATCTAGGTTTGTATGTTCCTGCTTTGGTAAATATGTATAGTAAAATTTGGTGTTTTCACCACTTGCAAGTTTACAATTCCAAGGCATTAAGAACACAGTACAGTGTCCATCACCAGAAGCTTCTTCCAAAATGTCTCTTATCATTCCAAACAGAAACTCTGTCCTCATTAACCATGGCATCCCATTGCCTGCCCTGACACACACCAGTAAGTTTCCATCACTGAGTCAGATCTATCCAGGGACCTCACATTGGTGACTAGCTGATCTCACCCAGTTTGTCAAGGAGTGTCCGTACAGCAGGTGCCAGACGGTCAATCCTTCTCATGGCTGAACATTGCCATGGGTGTCCACAAAACATTCTGCTTGTCCACTCTCTGTTGATAAGCACTGCTGCTGTGAATGCTCAGAGACAAATGTCAGTTTGATTCTTGTTTTCAATCTCCTGGATTTACACTGTGTAGAATTGCTGGGTCTTTTGGCAGTTCTGTTCAGAGAACCATACTGTTCTCCACAGTAGCTGCACTACTTCACATTTCATCATCAAAGCTCACACAAGGGTTAGAATTCCTCCAGATCTTTCCTAACTCTGGTTATTTTCAGATTTTGTTTTGTTCTCCTGATATTTGATTGATATTGAAGTGGTATCTCATTGTCTTGTTTTTGTTTTCCAGCATTGGAGATCAAACCCAGGGCCTTACAAATGCTCTACCACTGAGTCACATCCTTGGCCCCAAGAGGGTGATGTCCTAGAAACCAGTGCAGAAAGCCAAGGGATGTCTTGAGGGCCTGCCTGGGCCCATCTCTGGCTGAACAGTATGAGAGCAGTAACTAAATGCTTCTGGGAGTAGACCTGAGAGGAAGGTGGAGTTGAGAGGTACTCATGCCCTGGGTCCAATCCCCAGCATAAACTGCCTGTAATTCTGGCACTTGAGAAGAAAAGGCAGGAAGACCAGAAGTTCAAGGTCAACCTCAGCTACACAGAGTCTGAGGCCAGCCTGGGCTACATGAGCTATGAGGTCTTGTTTCCTAACCCTAATACAAAGAAAAAAAGAAATGTTTGCTTTAAATGCACTCGTTAGGAAGAGACTAAAGAATATAAATTTTTAATTTGGGAAGGATGGGTATTTAATTAATAAAAAGCAAACTTTGACAAAAAATATTAATGCATACAGAATAAATCAAGGAAGCTGGAGCACAGCCCTCAGCAAGGAGGGACCCAGAATAGTCCATGGGCAAGGCAGGCACAGAGCATGACAAGGAGTACAGGGTTATTTTGTGTAAGACACTTTATTCTTAGAACAGAGCACTGCATAATTTTGGCCACTTAGTGACATATAAGTTATAGGTACTTGCTGGGTGGCCAATAGGTACTTCTGGTGGCATGTTCTAGAGAGGGAAAAAAAATCCTGTAACAGCAGTTTCCTGAGAATTCGAGAGTATTTGAGAAGTATGACTCTATCTCTTGGCTTCCTACTGCTCCATCTGTGCCAACCATGCTCTTATGAGGACATTTAGAAACTTGTAGTCATCAAGCTCCATGTCCCAACCCTGACCTTGAACACAGGCTGTGCTGTGGCAATGACACTATACCAGCCTCAGCAAAAGCTCTAGCTGCTGGGTTCTTCATCCACACTGCAGAGCCCATCCAGTGCTAGTGACAGTCTTTTCTTCTCTGGGAAGCTGTGTTTATTACCTGCTGTATCAGTTCCACATTGGACCTCAGCATCTGGTGAAGTCAGTGGTAGAGAGAGTTCAGCTCCCCAGTGCACCCAGGCAGGGCCACCCCACAAGCTGCATAAATGACACTTACCTGGTTTGGGTCTGTTTTGCAGCAGGGGCTGTACTTGGATGAGATCATAAAGGATGAAGTTTAATGGACCACATTCTCCATCATATACACAATACCACTTCTGGTTTATGCATATCAGAGCATGGGACACAGCAGTACTAGAAGGCAAACAGGCCAGGGGCTGCCAGCTGTCAATGGTAGGCATAGACCCTCAAGAGTCTTGCCATGAGGGCCTCAGAACCTCTGCAAGGAAGATGGTACTCAAAAAGCCTGGGTGCAGTCTCTGCAAGGGGCATCTTCTCTACCCTGAGAGCAAAAGGTTGAGTCTAGGCTAGAAAGGATGATGGAGGGGCTCTAGACTCAGGAAGGCACACCACTGTCTACCCAAACAGTGGACACTGCACAGCAAAGGGCAGACATTTTACCTGCCTTGGCTGCTCAGGTCCAGGCTCCCAGATTAAGCTAGGGACGGTTCATAATTAAAAAGCTAAGGAAAAGACAGACTCAGGAGTGGACCCCCAGGAGGGTGATGTCCTAGAAGCCTGTGCAGAAAGCCAAGGAATGTCTTCAGGGCCCCCTGGACCCCTCTCTGGCTTCTAGGAGGAGGCCTCAGAGAAGGGTGAGGTTTAGAGGGGGCACATAGGTGGTTTTAAGCTATCAGTAAGGAGGGCAAAGAACAAGGCAATGCCAGCAGGGGGCAACGGACCTAAAGAGTTCCCTAGAACACTAGGAAAAATAGCATCGGTTTTCATTAAATTAGGGGAAAATGCTTGGGTTCAGGACCTGTGTGTCAGGACAGGGTCTGGGAATAACCAAGTGAAGGTATGACTTCATAGCAAAGAGGACCCCTCCCTTGGTGACAAGAGGAAGGCAAAGCAGATGAGCCATGTGATGGCAGTGGGGCTCAGCAGCCTTGAATACCTTGCTGAGGTTCATAGCCACAGATCCCTAATAGCCTTTCACACCACAATAAAATGTTACCTACCAGTGGCCCTGGACTAGATCCCAACCAGGGAAACAGCTGTGGAGGTGGGCATTATTAGGACAAGGAACAAAATGTAAACATTAACAGTGCTAGGTACCAGTGCCCACCAATGCTCCACATGCTAATCTTGACCACAGTGTTCTGCTTATGTAAGACTACAAAAGGCAAACAATGGAGAACTAAGGTATAAGATGGCATCCATAATTCTAACAGATCACTCAGACACACAAGCAACCTGGACACTGAGCAAGCCTAGATGGGTTCTTGTGATATTTACGTCTGAAATTACTTTATAACTAAAAAAATCACCACCAGTAACCCAAATCAAGAAGGGGACATTTCAGACCACTGGCCAGATCTCTTCAAACCTCAATGCCACTATAAACAAGGATGATGGGATTTTAGTCGCTTAGACTGAAGGGCAGAATGAAATACAGTTCATAAGTCATGGTTGAATAGTGAGGGAGAAACAGGATGAACAAAACAAAAACTCTAAGCCAGGCAGTGATGGTGCACACCTTTAATCCCAGCATTTGGGAGGTAGAGGCAGGCAGATCTCTGAGTTTGAGGCCAGCCTGGTCTACAAAGCAAGTTCCAGGACAGCCAGGGATACACAGAGAAATCTTGTCCTCAAAAAACAAAAAACAAAAACAAAAATAAAAAAACCAAACAACTAAAAACTTCAACAGAGGTCACTGGAAGAATCCTTGCAGAGGGGCTGGAGAGCTAGCTCAGCAATTAAGAGCACTGGCAGAGACGACTGGGGTTCAATGCTCAGCACCCACATGGCAGTGTACAACTGTAGCTTCAGGTCCAAGGGATCTGGCACCCTCTCACAGATATACATTCAGGCAAAAGACCAATGCACACACCTTTGATCCCAGCACTCAGGAAGCAGAGACAGGCATATCTCTGAGTTTGAGGCCAGCCTGGTCTACAGAGTGAGTTCCAGGACAGCCAGGGTTACACAGAGAAACCCTGTCTTGAACAACCTAAAAGAATCCTTACAGAAATGTGGTATTAGACTGGGTATTAGACATTGCCACCAGTTTTGTGAGGCCTCTGTAGAAACCTTTCTAGATGAAGATCCAAACCTGTAATTGTTCATGTGTGGGTGGGCGGTGTGTGTGTGTGTGTGTGTGTGTGTGTGTGTGTGTGTGTGTGTGTGTGTGACTCAGTGGTTAAGAGCACTGGCTGCTCTTCCAGAGGACCCAGGTTCAATTTTTAGCACCAACATGGCTGGTCCCAACCGTATTAACTCCAGCTCCAGGGGATCCAACGCCCTCTTCTGGCCTCCATGGCACCATGCTTACAAATGGTTTACAGACATACATGCAGGCAAAACACTCCTACACATAAAATTAAAAATGAAGTAATAGCACATCAACTGAGGGGTTAGGTGATGGGCACACAGGTATTCATGGTTCTACACATGCTTGTTAGAACACTGTCATGCAGTAGTCATCTACCTAATATCATACTTTCATCTGCCAACACCTCTGCATCTCCATTAGGAGCTGGCCAGACCCAAAAGTACAGCATGTCCAGTCAAAGATGGGCTGCAAGCCATCCCTACACCTTTCCATTGTGTCCCACACTCAGTATACCACAGCAATGCTGAGTTGGGGGCCATTCTCGACCTTTTGGCTGAGTCTGTTTCCAGAGCTATAGCTGCAGCCTCCTACCAGCTCGCCAATATCAAGTAATGAATATAAAATGTACTCTGACCATGTATCTCTCTGCCAAAATCTGTTCAGGGGTTCTGGTTCTTAGGAAGACCCCAGAATCACTGCACTCTGGATTGACAATCCTGTGCCCCCTTCAACCCTACAAGTGAGGCTGTAGACACTGCTCTCCTCAGCCATGACATTCAGCACCTCCACTTGAAAAATCTTTGCAACTGCAACTCCCTTTCCCTTTCCCCAGCCTCTGTACATCCTGACTCAAATCCAAAGCTCCTCTGCAGTCCTACTGGCCCTAGAGGGGCTTCTACTCTACGGCAGAATCTGACTGCCACTCACTGTTGTTTCCCGTCTCCTTCTGAACCAGCGGGGGCTATTATCTCCACCAGGTCCCTAGAATCTGGAGTAGGTGCCTGTTACATTAGGAAAGATCTGAGCAAAATGGGTACTAATAAAACTTGGGGGAAAAAAACACTTAAAACTCTCATTACTGAATCCTAAAGAACAAGAATATACATGCAAATAAGAAGGGGAAAGTTATTATGGAAACAATCAAGCCTGAGTATGTTCACACCAATGATGGCCCAATAATCTGATCCAGAAATCATCTACAAGTTCAGTGAGACAAAATTTCAAAAATAGCCTAGAAATATAATAGTCTTCTCAGGGAAGAGGATATCAATTGGTTATCCAATACCAAATGGCCAGCCCTAAAAACATATATACAAATAACATTATACAGATTAAGCAACTTATATACTTAGAAATTTATGTATCACACACACATATATACTGATATGCATGTAACAATGAATAAAAAAAGAGGCCATGAATTTGAAAGAGAGCAAGGAGGGATATATAGGAGGAGGGTTTGGAAGGAAAGGTAAGGGGGAAATCATGCAATTATATTGTAATCTTAAAAAGATAAGAAAATCCTTAGTTTTAAAAGCCTGATCTTTTGAGTATATTCTTAAGATTTTATTTCAAAAATTATAAACACTTTTTTGGACTGGATTAAATCAACAATTTACCACAAATAGGTACACAAAGCCAAAGACTAAATCTTTTTAACAAACAGTAAAGCTTTATTTTAAGACAGACCAGCAGTCTATTCTAGCAAACAATGTTACCAACAACCATAGAGATCCAATTAGAGTAAGCAGCAGTACTCTAAGTGTGCTCCAGGTGGACTTAAAAATCGCTCACAAGGCTGCATTATACAGATGGAAACACCACTCAGGCACAGATGATAGAAAGGGACAAAGACAAAGATTGCAAGGTCCAGTTCAGTGTGGCTGCGTCACTGGCAGGCCTCTCACGGGGCCCTTGTCAAGGCTCCAGGTCTCCTGTACCATCTGAACCCATTCTCCAGCACACTCCTGCTGGGCTCTGCAGAACATGAGTCCAAAATCAGTACCCAGGTGTGACAGCTATTCTTGACTGTCAACTTGACTACATCTGGAATTAACTAAACTGAAACTGCTGGGTACACCTGTGAGGGGCTTTTTTTTTAAATCATTCAAAGTAGGAAGACCCACTTTTAATCTGGATCTTTTGAGGTGAGAAGGTATACCTTTAATCTAGACCACACCGTCTGCTGGCAGCCTATATAAAGGACATTGAAGAAGGAAGCTTGATCTCTTTGCCTGCTTGCTCTCACTCTTGTTGGCAAGTCCATTTCTTCATTGGCATTACAGCTTCGGGATTCCAGTGTGTACTGAAGACCAGCTGAGACCTCATGGACTGAACGACTACTGGATTCTTGGACCTTCCACTGGTAGACAGTTATTGTTGTACTAGCTGGACCACAGACTATAAGCCATTCTAATAAATCCCCTTTACATATATCTATCTATAGAATATAATATATATGTAGACTCATTCTATCAATTCTGTTCCTCTAGAAAGCCCTGACTAATACAGATTTTGGTGCCAAAAGTGGTTCTAGAGCAGAAGTATAAGGATGAATTTTGAAAGTACCTGGAATAGGCTTTCCAACTTGCCAACACCTACAGTTAGTTACTCAAGTCTCTCCAGTTACTAAAGCCTCTTCTGGAAACTTGAAGAGTACTTGGAGTGAACTATTTTGCAAACTTAAGTGGACAAATGCATTTGATTGTCTTGATTCATCAATTGTGAGAGGCAACAGGTTTGTGGAAAAATAAGGAAAATGATGATGCTGGTTGGTTGCTCCTATCATCTCTGGATAAATTGACAAAGGAAAAGAATGAGCTTCATGATAAAATTAACCAACTTCTAGCATCTCAGAATATGGTGAAAGATAACAACGGACTCAATGATAAAATTGACCAGCTCCACATGTGCATAAACAGTCTAAAGGTTTCTAAGTGACCTAGAAGAGAAACTTCTCTCCAGCAGCCACAGAGCTCAAGATGTGAAAAATCAAACTGAAGCCCTCATTACAAGGTTGACTGAATTACAGAGAAAATTCAAGTCCCAGCCTTAGAGAGTGTCAGCAATTAAATTAAGGGCATTAATTGGTAAAGAATGGACTCCTGTAACTTGGAATGGAGATTTGTGGGAAGGACCCTATTGAAACTGAGAACTTTGAACCCTCAGATTCTCAAGGGTTTATCTCACCTGAGGAAGTAATCTCTCCACCCTCCACAGAAGATGAACTATTACTCCCACCCCCTGAAATATTGCCTTTTCCACCTTTGACTAAGGAAATTAATCCTTCATCATTTGCTAAACCAGCAGTGACTTTCTCTGAAGGAAATGACTGTAGTAGAATGTTATCTTAAGGTGTGCTACTTTTGTTTATGTTACATTTGTTTAACTCTGTGAAACTGTGTTACTGTGCCTGTCTAAAACACCTGATGGGCTAATAAAGAACTGAACAGCCAACAGCAAGGCAGGAGAGGGAAATAGGTGGGGCTGGCAGGCAGAGCAGATATATAGGAGAAATCTGAGAGGAAAAAAAAGAAGTGGCCAGAGAAGGAGGAAGACATCATGGGTCAGCCACCCTGCTACACATCAAGCTTTGGAGTAGGAGTAAGATGGACAGAAGTAAGAGAACGGGAAAAGCCCAGAGGCAAAAGATAGATGGGATCATTTATGTTAAGTAAAGCTGGCTAGAAACAAGCCAAGCAAAGGCCAGGCATTTCATAATTAAGAATAAGCCTCCATGTGTGATTTATTTGGGAGCTGGGTGTTGGGCCCCCCAAAAGCAGCAAAAACAAACAACAACAAATGCCAGGCAAGACAACACTGATGTCCCTCAGGACTTGCCAATAGCTGCCTTTAGACCTATAACCAGACTGAAGGCTAAGCAGGCCCCTAAAGGGGAAATAGAAAGTGTAGTCCATGAGAAGGTACACTATACTACAATACTAAAGAGCTTCATGAGTTGGCTAGTTCAAGCAGAAGTCTGGGGAACATATGTGGGAATGGATTTTAAGGGTGTGGGATACTGGTGGAAGGAACATAAAACTGGATCAGGCTGAGTTGATTGATAGAGGCCCTCTGAGTGGAGGTTTTAGGTTTAATAGGGAAGCTCACACAGTTTAAAAAAAAAAAGGTGTCAAATTTGCTTGAATCGTTGGCTTTTGAAAAGGAGTTGGAGATGCCTGATATCCCCTGGCTTAGTGTTGATGAAGGGATACTAACATCCAGGGAAACTGCAGGGCTAGCGTGGGTATGCTGTGTAAAACCTAATCTTCCACAATGGGCAGGCCCAGAAGGCATGCCTTCACTAATCCTACAAGACACAAAATAGTGAGAGGGGCACCAGCACATTTGAAGAGCTTTGTTTTCACCTTTTCCTTGTGCAACAACATCTTAGGGTTGGAGATGCTGTTACTCAGTTGGATGAATTAAATGTAATGGGTATCAGGGGCCTGATGGCAGCACTGAATCACCAAAGGCAAGGTTATCTCAGTTATCATAATGGGCAGCATAGACAAAGCAACATCCATAATGGCCTGACCTGTAATGGTCAGAACAAAGTGACTTTTATGTTGTCATGATTAGTATAGACCTTTGGTACTGGCTAAGCAATCATGGTGTTTCCAAGAATGAAACAGGTAAGCCTACTGCATTTTTGTTTGATCTGTATAAGCGAAAAAATTCTCTAACAATGAAAAAAGGCTACATTTGGGTTGTGGCAAACGGAATCTCTGCCCATGAACCAATTTCCAGACTTTAGACAGTTTATAGACCCAGAACCCCTTGAATGAAGGGATGGCCAGGTCCCCGAGGAAGGACCTTGATAAATTACCTAGGAGTTTTACTGTTAGCCTTTCTTCGGTCCTTCCCCAGAGAGACTTACAGCCTTTTACAAGGGTAACTATATACTGGAGGAAATACAGAATGGGTAGTAGAGAAAGCTAGCTATAAATATCAGCTAAGGCCATGAGAACAGTTGAAGAAACGATGATTATAATTGACATGAATATTTTTGTCATATTTTGTTAATGTGTTTGTACAGATAATTGTGTTTTATTTCCTTGGTATCTTTACTATATAATGTAACAACAATTAACAGAATATCAGTTGTTATCATATTTGAGATACTAAAAGGATGTTCCTCAAGGGGCATTGCCACCTATTCTAAATTTACAATGCATTTGTGGTTATATGAGGAATAGTTATGTCATGTTAGGCATACTTACGACCTGGTTAAATATATGATACATTTGCAATTGTATTTGGGAATAGTTCTATCATGTTAGGTGTAATTATGACTTGGTTATTGTTTTCATTTAGAAATTAAGCATGACATAAGGAGATATGATTGTGTGTCAAGTTGACAAGAGGTGGACTTGTGATGGCTATTCTTGGTTGTCAATCTGACTGCATTTGGAATTAACTAAAACCCAAGCAGATGGTACATATGTGAGGGATTTTTTTTTAAATTTTTTTTTTTCTTAATTAAATCATTCAAACTGGAAAACCCACTTTGAATCTAAATATTTTGAGGTGGGAAGATCCACCTTTAATGTGGACCACACCTGCTGGCAGCCTACACAAAAGGACATGGAAAAAGGAAGTGTGCCCTCTTTGCCTGCTTACTCTTGCTGTCAATTCCATTTCTTCCCTGGCATTAGAGCCTACTTCTTCAGGATTCCAGTGTGTACTGAAGATTCTTGGACCTTCCACTGGTACACAGCCATTGCTGGATTAGCTGGACAATGGCCTGTGTGGTGGTTTGAAAGAAAATGGGCCCCAAAGGGAGAGGCACTATTAGGAGGTGTGGCCTTGTTGAAGGAAGTGTGTCACTGTGGGGGCAGGCTTTATGGTCTCTTTTGCTCAAGCTTCCCTCAGTGTGACAGTCAGTTGACATTCTGTTGCCTGCAAGATGTAGGACTCTCAGCTATTCCTCCAGCACCACATCTGCCTGCATGTCACCATGCTCCCTGCCATGAAAATGGACTGGACCTGTGAAACTGTAAGCCAGACCCCTTAATTAAATGTTTTCCTTATAAGAGTTGCTGTGGTCAAAGAAATAAAAACTCTAAGACAGAAGTCGGTACCAGGGAATGGGGTATTGCTGTGACAGGCCTGACCACGTGTTTGGAGGAATTTCGACTTTGGTACTTTGGGTTAGGAAAGCAGTGGAAGGCTTTAAGCACTGCTCAATGGGTCACACTAGCAGGAGCAATGACGATAGGCTGCTAAGAGAGATTTGAACAGTCGGGCTCAGGAGGAGAAGAGTTTTCGTATGTTGCCTAGAGATTTGTTCTTGTGATATTTTGGTGAAGAAAGTGGTTGCCTTTTGCCCTTGTCCAAAGAGTTTACCTCAGGCTAAAAGTGAAGAGTTTTGGATTAATTCCATTGGCAGAAGAAATCTCAAAACAGCCTAGATTTTGTCATGTGGTTATTACTGGTAACTCTAATGAAGATTTATAATGAAAAAAAGCAAGCTGAGCAGGGTAAATTACAAAAGGTAAATTTTGAGGAGAAAAAGAGCAACAGAAAGTGGAATAGAGCTAAATCCTATGTTCAAGGAGATAAACGAATTAAGAGATGGAATAAAGGGAGTGGTGAACTCAGGGCAAGATCCCACCCAGTTACATTTCCAACTTGTGAAAAGGAACTAAAGAAGAGCTTAGAGCCAGATGTGGTGAGGCATACCTTAATCCCAGCACTGGGAAGGCAGAGGCCAGACTGGTCTAAAGATCAAGTTCACGGACAGCCAATCTTAGGCAGTGAAGGAAAACAGAAAGCTGATGAAGGGGGCCATGTTCCAGTCCCAGCAAGCAGCAGAACTTGGCAGCTTTGGCCACATGGTTCTGGCTTTAGAGTTAAGGATAGAAGAAAGGAGTCATGGAATAAAGCTGCTGAGGCCATTTAGGACTCCCTAAATGGAGGCCTAGAGAGGCCATTATGTGAAGTTGTGAAGTTGAAGCCTAGATTGCCTTGGAGAACCCAAGATGTTAGAGATGTGAGAGTTGTGGAATACCTGTCAAGGACAGCTGCTAATAGGAAGTGAAACCAGCCCAAGAGAGAAGCTGAACAGAGTTGAAGATCTGAAGAGCATTTCAACATGAGACATGAAGATGCATAATCTGGAGTTTGCCCAGCTCGTTTTCAGTCTTGCTTTGGTCCAATTTCCTCATTATGCTCTGTTCCCTGCATTTTGGAATGGGAATGTATATCCCGTGCCATTATAGGTTAGAAGTATGTGATCTGCTTTTTGATTTTGATTTTTATAGGAGGATTACAGTTAAGAGATTGGCATGCATCTCAGAAGAGACTTTAAACTTTGAAACAAGTTTGAGACTGTTATAGACTGTGGGGACTTTTGAAGTTGGACTGGATGAATTTTTTTGCATTATGATATGGCTATAAGCTTTTGGAGGCCAGGAAGTGGAATGTGGTGGTTTGAAAGAAAATGGCTGCCAAAGGGAGAGGCACTATTAGAAGGTGTGGACTTGTGGGAGGAAGTGTGTCACTGTGGGGGTGGGCTTTGTAGTCTCTTTTGCTCAAGTTTCCCTCAGTGTGACAGTCAGTTGACATCCTATTGCCTGCAAGATATAGGACTCTCAGCTATTCCTCCAGCATCACATCTGCCTGCATGCTGCCATGCTCCCCGACATGATAATGGACTGAACTTCTGAAACTGTAAGCGAGCCCCCTCAATTAAATGTTTTCCTTATAAGAGTTGCTGTGGTCACGGTGTCTTTCACAGCAATAAAAAACCCTAAGACAACCTGTAAGCCATTCTAATAAATCTCCCTTTCATTCTATCAGTTCTGTTCCTATAGAGACCCCTAATATATCAGGACTTCACTTACTTCTCTAAGGCCATAGGCTGTGACCACCAGAATTCTGAGGCCCAAACCTAGCACAGCACAGAACCAACCCACAATTGTTCCCTTTCTTCCACCAGTCCATCCCAGGGCTAAGCCAACTCCCAAACCAAGCATCAGTCCTTGTAGAACTAAGAGGGCTGGCCAGCTACTACAGCCCATGTGTGGAAAGAAAGGAACAGAGTGCCAGCAGTCCCCAAGGAACAAGAAGTGTGTGGACATCAAAGGCCCAGCCTGTACTGGTTACATACACCACAGAAATCTAATAATTACCTTCTGAACCCCCCGAAGGTAGACGCCCAGACTACTGACTCAGCGTTTATCCTCCCAGCCCCGCTCCCACTTTTGCTATTCTTGCTTTCATTTTTCCCCTCCCCAGGGCTTCACAAACTCTAGGCTAATACTCTGCCACTAAACTGTATCTTTTGTCCTTATCAGGTTCTGCGAGAAAAAAAATCATGTCCTGAATGCCATTCAGACCCAACATACTATACTACACACAACAGGTACTAAATTTGGATTCTGACAATTGACATTTGACAGTCATCTATATTTCGTAAGAAAATCTCAGCTGTGACTATGACTTTAGTAAGTGACATCAACAGGCAGAACTCCCTTCATATTGGACTTCATATCTGACCTCAGAGTCCAGGATACCCAAGGCAGTCTAGGAAGAAGGGATCAGAGGCAACACTGACAACTACAACAGAAAATTCTCAAGTTTCTGCCCGCCTTTTCAGTCACCACATCAAGAAAATCCCCATCTTCACTGAACACCATTCAGGAACACTGAAGTCCACTTCATGAATACTCACCTTTTTAAGGGAATCCCCATGTCTTTCCTGAATGTACTTCAGGAATGCTGTGGTCCACTGAAGGGTTGTTGCTTTATCTGTCTCCGCATTGCAGAATGGAACTAAAAGATTCAGCTCATCACAGCAAATGCGGATTCTGCGCCTGCGGTCAAAATCCACAGTAATCACACAGGACAGCTGGTGAAGTACAGGAGCAACAGAGTTCATTATTCATTCAAAGAAAGCAGAATGTATGGAGCTGACCTCTGAAGGTTAGGAGGAGTGTACCACCTGAAAGCCTCACGTAAGCCAGTGGGCACTTTGCCACTGAATACCTGTCTACAGAGGCCATCGCTACCCATGGTCACCAGAGCACCTGTAGTGGCCCAGTAGCCTCCAAGTCCCTACACTTTCTCAAATATTTATTTCTCATGGGCCAGCTCTCTATACCAGGGATGACTGCAAATCCCTCAACTCAACAACAAAATTTCTGGGCAAGTAATTTTTTTTTCATTGTTTTTATTTTCTTGCAGTACTGGGCACTGAACTCCAGAGCCAGCCTCACATTGTTATTCAGGAATCATGACTTGCTTCCCATGTATAGAAATATGTACTCAGGCACATGCATAGCTTCCAGACTGAGTGGGGCATGATGATACACACCTATAATAAAGCACCTCAGAGGCTGAGGCAGAATAATCATAAATTCAAGGTCAGCCTCGGCTATGTAATGAGACCCTGTCTCATAAAAATAAACTTGTCCTTTTTTAGAGAATTTAGGGCTTAGGGCTGGGGATGAAGCTCAGTGGTAGAATGCTAGCCTATTATTCCATGGGGCCCTGGCTTCCATCACCAGCATTGAAAAGCAGCTTCTTGAGAGAATTAAGTCACACCTTGTTTTAAGCTTTACATATCACATCCAGTAATAAGCAAAGCCCTCACTGTGCTGACACAAACAGTTACATGGTACAGTGCACTACACATCTTCACACCCACACACCTAAAGTCAAATGGCAGCTAGCACACTTTGGATGCACTCTAATTTCTAGTAGAGGGCCCAACTCCTTCCCTATCAGTTCAAGTAGTTCTGACCTCAAGTATGTGTGGTAGATTAACAACCCTATCCTAAAGATGAGATAGATACTCAAGCACAGAACTCACTGGAAGCCATTAAACCAGGGGGTGTCAAGAATTCCACAGAGCAGCTATCCCACATGTGCTCATTAAACACACATCAGGGTGAGCAGTACTTGATTTATTTGATTTATAATTCACAGTAGGATAAAGGAAGTCCCTCAGGTATAACATGACCTGTGTACAGGTATAATAAGAAAAATGCCTGAGCTATAGAGGGAAACCCTGCCTCAAAAAAAGAGAATGCAATGGGGCTGGAAAGATGGCTCAGCCATTAAGAGTATGTTTTGCTCTTGCAGAAGACCCCAATTTGATCACCAGCACCTATATGGTGGCTCCCAACCATCTATAACTCCAGTTCCAGGGATCTTCTGACCATTGCAGCAGTCACCAGGCACATACATACATGTAAGCAAAATAATCATAAAGAACTACACAGCTTGCCTGGCGATGGTGGCACACGCCTTTAATCCCAGCACTCGGGAGGCAGAGGCAGGCAGATCTTTGTGAGTTTGAGGCCAGCCTGGGCTACAGAGTGAGTTCTACACAGAGAAACCCTGTCTCAAAAAACCAAAAAAAAAAAAAAAAAAAAAAAAAAAGAATTACACAGCTAGAGAGAAGGTCGGGTGGCTAGCTGTTCTTCCAGAGGACCCAGGTTCACTCCGCAGCACCTACATAGTGGCTCACAACCACCTGTAACTCTAGACTCAGAATCCAATGCCCTCTTCTGGCCTCTACAGGCACAAAAGTAGTGTACAAACATACATGCAGGCAAAATATCTCATACATAAAAAAATTTTTTTAACTAAAAAATGAAGAAATCCTAGCACTTGGGAGACAGAGGCAGGCAGATCTCTGTGAGTTCGAGGCCAGCCTTGTTTTAAAAAAAAAAAAAAAGAGAAGAAGAAAGATATCTATCTAGTTTTAACACATCCTCTAAAAAGCAATAAATCACCTTGGGTTATTTAATAATTAAACTTCAATGCACAATACTATCTTGTTAAATACTATTATTCCTGAGCTGAAAATATAAACGCAATACTCATAAATGACCAAATTGATTATTATTATTAAACACTGTAAAAAAAAAACCCCAACTTCAATAGAGAAAAATCAACCTTTTATACTACCTAGAATAGCACATACAAAATCCACAGGTAAACTCACTTTTATAACTCACTTCAATAACAGTTTTAACCTCCTCTTTTCCAACATTTTTTTTCTTTTTTCTTTTGGATGTAGGGTCTTGCTATTCAAGACTAACCTATAGTTCACTATATATCCCAGATTGTCCTCAAACTTGAAGCAATCCTCCTACCTCAGCCTCTTGAATACTGCAATCACAAATGTGTGCAACTATATCTGGCTTCCCCAAATAAAACACAAAGCTACGTTACCTACTGTGTATTTAACTTAAAGGCCCAATATTCTCCTTAAGGACCTGCTGACAAAACTGGCCTTCTCCTAGTGTCTGGGAACTTGGGCTTGGGGAGATTAGTGAAGAACAGCCCACAGGTCCACAACTCTCCAAGCAACATGGCTCACACTGAGAGCCTGGCATTCAGAGTGTGCCAGATAGGAACTATCATGTGTCTGAGCCTCTAATGAGCCCTCCTGTTCGGTGGCACCTCATTGGTGCCCTTGGAGCACAACACTGAAGTCATCAATTAGGAGGTCCTATGTAACCTTCTGGGAGAAGACTCCTGGGAATGTGCTCCCTAGCTCTTCCCACATACCTTGGATCATTTTGCCTTGTATTCTGCCACTGTAGTCAATCAGAGATGAATCCACCAGAGATCACTGAGTCTTGAAGACTCCTCAGCCTCCATACAGAGGGTGAACTATCACACAAAAAGCCAGCACATCTAAGACAACTGTATGAATGGAGCCCATAGTCCATACTATATTACCTTCTATCTCTTTCCATTCGGTTATGCCTCTCCCGACGCTGAGACCTTCCTCCCTGGGGTCCACTCTGCGTCTGCTCCCCCAGGTTTGACTGTGAGGACTCAGAAGACTGCCAGGTACCCTGTGAAGCTGTAGAACCTTCGCCCATATTCTGAATCTCTCCAAGGGCTCTTCGCTCCACACTTGTGTCCAACTGGCGGATTCTACTCCGATTCCTCTTATTGATTGCTTGTTTACATAGCGCTTCTTCTTTGCAAAAGAAGAAAAAAGCCGTCATTTAGTTTTTTATTCTTAACTCATTCCCATTAATGTAGACTATCTTTGTTGGGCATCTTGTTTTTTTCTGAGAAAGAGCCTCACAAAGTCCAGTATTGCCTTAACTCACAATGCAGCCAAGAATGTCTGTGAATTCCTGAGCCTCCTAAGTGCTGGGACTACAGGTGTGCACCACTGTTTGTTTTTGTTTTTTTTTCCCTTTTCTTTCTGGACTGTGTGTGCCTGTGCACTCACCCATGCATAGACATGTTTTGGATTTCAATCCAATATTCTAACACTATCAAGTACGAATTAAAGAAACAAGGAGCTATGATGGCAGAGACTCTGAGCACTAAGCACTGAGCTCTAATCCTACAGCACAATCAAATCACCCCTTCTGACTGGGTGGTAGTGGGGCATGCCTTTAATCTCAGTAGAGGCAGGTGGATCTCTGAGCCTGGCCTACAGAGTAAGTTCCAGGACAGACAGGGAATACACAGAGAAGCCTTGTCTCAATCAATCAATCAATCAATCAATCAATCAAACAAACCCACAAACCAAACCAAAAGAATCTACCCCTTCTGAATGCTATGCAACCAACACAACTATGTCAGCTCCTCCCTTTTTCATGGAGCTGTACCACTGATTTACCACTGAACTAAATCCTCCACTCCTCCCTTCTAATTAACAGTTGTTATTACCCATGAATACAGAAATCAAAACATTGTTTTCTTTTTCTAGAATTTAGGATGGAAAGAATGTTTCAAATATTTTCACTAAAACCTTTTCTTCATATCCAGTTATTCTAATATGAAAATTGATACTTTACCTCAGGATAAAACTTAACTGATTCAGTTAAATATGTTTTCATGTTCAAGTGATTCCACAAAAAAGCAAAGAAAAAAATCAGCTTTTGCACTTACATATTGTGCACATAGTATAGAAATAAGTCAAATTCAATCAGATAAAAGAAAGTAAGCAGGTGATATGCTTTCCCACTTGTCACAAAAAGCCTTAACACCACTTCTGGATCACATTTTAAGAGAGACAGAGAAAGGAATTCAGAAGTTCTGGTGTCTTCTTTCTTAGCCTTAGTAATAGGCATAGTCCCCCATTAGTGCTCATCTATATTTCACAGGATTTTCAAATAAAAAGTATTGACAAACAAAACTGAGGGCTGACAGGAAGAAGCAGTTTCCATCTCATCCTGCCTCAGCCACTCTGAATGCTTCAGGAGTAATAGTTCCTATCTCTTGAAAGAAAACCTTTCCCAAGGAGGGAGGGGCTGAAGTGACTATCAAGAAATTGATCTGCTGGTGGCAGCTTCTTTACACTCCAGACCTTGTAATCATCCAGTGGCCTCTGCTAAGCCCAGCCACTGCCATGACACAGTGTTATTTTTATCTCTTTGGAGCTTTCAGATGATTTCAGACTCCATCATCACTCACAAAGTATGAAATAAAATAAACTACAAAGTACTTTCAGTGGCTGTGGCACCTGAAGATGTCTGTGAGTCTGTTGTCATTTTACTGTTAAGAAAAAGTTCCCGCCAGGCGGTGGGGGCGCATGCCTTTAATCCCAGAACTTGGGAGGCAGAGGCAGACAGATCTCTGTGAGTTCAAGGCCAGCCTAGTCTACAGAGGGAGTTCCAGGACAGCCTCCAGGACAGTTACACAGAGAAACCCTGTCTCAAAAAAATAAATAAATAAATAAATAAATATAAAGAAAAAGCTTCCAAATTAAAAATATCCAAAATTTGAGTCAACTATGATGTCCAGAAAAAAGTTCAAAGATGAGGATGAGGAATACAGAGTAAATACCTAAGACTTCTTACACATGTGCATATAAAGGTCCTCTCCTGTCCCCACCCACCAGAGCCTAAATATTCTGCAGCTACAGCTTGTCAAGAGTACACACAGCCACTATCTGCTGATCTATCACTTACCTCCCACCTTAATCCAAACCTGCTCTGGCAAGGCTTTGTTTCTACTACCTCCTGTCTGTTTGGTGGACTCAATCTCTTGCTGGTAACAGAAAGAAAATGCTCTAGGCAGTCCAATATCCTGGTGCTTGGCAGCTTCCAGTATAGAACATGAGTTACTAGAACTCTGGAAAAAAATTAAGTAACAGAAATTGTATCAATATGTGGCTATGTCAGCTCTTTACAGCACAAGTAAACTGCACTCAATACAATTATGCTCAAACCTTCTGAAAAACTTTCATTTTTAAAAATGATTTTAACTGTGTATATGTGTGGATTTGTGCACATGACTGTAGGTTCTGGATGCCGGAAGGATCCCCTCCTAAAGCTGGAATTAACAGGCAGCTGTGAGATGGGAACCAACCTAGGATCCAATACAAGAACAGTATGCATTCTTAACCACTGAATCATCTCTCCAGCCCTTTTACTAGGTTTTTAAATAATGCCTAACAATATAAATATTACAACTTACAAAGGTCACCAGTTCCATTAAAAGAAAAAAAAAATCCTGGGACAAGATCAAACTAAGTTACGAGCCCTGAATTTGACACAGACGAAAAAGCTTTACCTGTGTCTGTGCAAGGCTGGCATTCCCACCAGTGGAACAGGCACTTGTAAACAGTGGGTAGGTGAACTGCAAAGCAGTAGTGGCAGCAGCAGTTTTATTTTTCACTAAGGTCGTACATTTGTTTTGTTGCTGGTGAAGAGGAACATTCATTAATTCAGATGGATGTCGAATAAGAGTTACCAAACTGCCAAGACAAAAGAAAACCCGGAAACCTGAGGAATATGTGGCGGAGAGGCTCCCGAAACATTGCCATCACCCATTCAACCACTAACAGGTCATGCTAGACTCCGCCCTGCTTCTCAAGCAGTCCTGGAGATGGCCGGAATGATCCACTGGCCAGTGGTGCTGGTGAAGTTCACTTTGCCTCCTCCCCGCCTGCAGCACTCCCTGACCCCTATCTCTGTCATCCTCCAAATCTGGCAAGGATGGACAAGACCAGGACAGCTGGGTGAGTGGAAAACTGCGGAGTCAGTGTCTTCAACAGCTACCTGGGAGAGCATTAAGGGGGCCAGGAACTACCACAGGTTTCAGCTTAATCTTAAAACTCCTGCCTTTCCACTCCACAGGTCCAAGTCTGCACTGGAGGCCAGAGCAGCTCCCCATGGCACTCAGGGGGTAGACAGAACCAAAGGGTACAGTCCTCAGAACTCTTCCTCTCCTTTTTGGGGGGTGTAGAGACAGCCCGAAGGTCCACAAGCCCCAGGGTACTCCTTAGAATTGCCACGCAGCACTTGCATAGTGTGCAGCTTCCAGAATCATCCTCAGGTTAATTCAGAGCAGGCCGGCATGAGACCTCCTATATCTAGTACCCAGACTGCCTGCCCCTTTACACTGAACTTCCCAAAGATCTTTGGGAAAGGCTGGTGTCCACGCAGCCATGGAAGTAGCCCTCCCAGACCCAAGAGGCGGCCCCGCCGGAGCCCTTCCAGGTATCCACCCAGACCCAGCAGGTGCCCAGAATGATCCCTCAGACGGCAACAGCTCTGTGAGAAGACCCCTCCTCCCCGACGCCCCCGCGCCCCGCACGCACTTGTTGAGCGCCACGCCCGACTCGCCAGGCTCAGCACCGCGAGGCGCAGGCGGCTCGGCCGGCATGCTGTTGAAGCGGTCCTCCAGGCGGACGCGTACGGTCGGCTTGGCCCGGGCCTCGGGCGCGCCGTCGGGCCCCGCGCCGCCCGCGCCCTCCTTGGCCGCGCCGTCCGCCCGCGTCCGCGTCCCGTCCGCGCCGCCAGGCGTCTTCTCGGCTGCGCCCGCCTCGCCCAGCAGCATCATACGCAGCTCCTGGAAGTCGACGTGGCCCAGACACGGCGCGTCGGCCGCCAGCGGCGGGCACAGCACTGGGTACACAGGCGGCGCCGGCGCCAGCGAGCCCGCCGCGCCCGAGCCCGCGCCCGGGCCGGCCAGCAGCGCGGAGCCCAGGCGTGCCTCGAGCTCGCCGTCCGCCGCCTCCATGTGCGAGTAGAGGATGTGCTGCAGCTGCGTGTACTCCACTTCCGTCATCTCCACCAGACTCAGGTCGGTGGTCGTGAAGCTCAGTCCCGGCTCGCCCAGCGCCGCGTCCCCGCCGCCCGCGCCCTCGGGGCCCGCCTCGCCGCCCGTCGCGCCTGCCTCAGGCGGCGGCTCCCGCGGCCCGGGGCCCGACATGCCGGCGCGGCGCGGCCCAACGGCGGGGCGCGGGCGCGGGGACGGCGACGCAGACGCGGGCGGGCGGCGAGGCGGGGTCGCGGCCTCCGCAGACGACGCGCCGGCCACCGCGGGCGCGCCGTTGGGGGAGGGAAACCGCTTAACACCGCAGGGACAGTGCGCCTGCGCAGTCCCGCCCACAACGGTAACCCCACCCCTTTTGGGCCACGCCCCTCCCGTTACCCGCCGCCCCCGTCAACTGCCCTCCCGCCCCGGCCCCCCCCCCCCCCCCCCCCCCCCCCCCCCCCCGTGGCCTGGGTCCACTGCACCTTTGTTCTCAAACCCGGGACAGGCCACGTCCCGTGTGGCCACGCCCAGTTTAGACCACACCCCCTTAAAAGCTCTCCCATTGGCCCGATGTCTGTCTCTGGCTTCCCATCCCCCACCCCACCAATCCCGGGGTAACCACTCCAGGCTCGTTGCCAGGGAGCCGGCTACTTGCCCCTGCTCCTGCGTGGGTGCCCCAGTTAACCCTGTGGACCCAGTCACACCCCTTTCTAGCCATGCTTCTGTAGTGCTACCATGCTCTTTACTGGCCATGTCCAGCTTCCTCCTGTGTCCAGCCCAGGCCTTGGAGTCACCTACTTTGGGTGCTTTATGTGGAGTACCATGCAAAATACACTCCAGTTTTTCATTCTCTTTTAGTCAAGCTGAGGATTAGACCTCGGGTCTCTCACATGCTGAGCTACTCTTTTATACCCAGCAAAGATAGCATCACTGTATTTTATACCCAGTGTCTTAGTTAGAGTTTCTATTGCTGTGGTAAAACAGCATGACCAAAATCAGCTTAAGGAGGAAAGGGTTTATTTCATCTTATACTTCTAGGTAACAATTCATCACAAAGGGAAATCAGAGCAGTAACTTAAGGGAGCTGGGACCACCCACATCAATTGTCAATCAAGAAAGTGCACCACAGGCTTGCCCATAAAGGTTAGTGTCATAATTGTATACCTAATGGAGATAGCATCACCTCATAATCCTATGCCTAGCAAAGCTATCTTTTGAAAAGCAAAGATAAAGTAATCCTTTTCTATTTTTTGTTTCACTTTTAAAAACAAGATTCAAATTGTAGTCAGAATGGCCTCGAACTGGGTATGATCCCCCTGCCTCATCCTCTGGAGGCATGTGCTACACTTGACACAATGATGACTTTTTCTAATATTAAAAAAAAATGTAAATAGGGCCAGAATAGAGTTCAGTGATAGATGTATGAGGGCCCAGGTTTGATCTCTAGCACTGGAAGAAAAAGGTTAAATGACGATCTTTACTAGTAGACTTGTACTAAAGAAGCAGTTAAGGCAATCCATCATATCATATACAGAGAAGGTATAAATTGGAATGTACACAACCCAAGGAAGACCTGGATAGGTTAAAAATGTTCACCAAAAGCCTCAAAGCAACCACTGACAAGAAAATGAAGGTGACAACATGGGATTGCAGAGTAAAGAGGCAGGAGAGAAAACAGTAGAAAGGTGGGCACAGGGGACAAACGGGGAATAAAAAGATGGAAGGTTTAAGTCCAACAAGATCACATAAAATAGAAATGATTTAAATGTAGAAAAGCAGGCTGGAAAGATGGCTCAGGAGTTAAGAGCACTTGCTCTTGCAGAGGACCTGGGTTTGGTTCCCAGCACCTATGTGGTGGTTCATGCCATCCATAACTTGAGTTCCAGATGATCCAATGCCCTCTTTAGATCCTCACAGACACCAGGTATGCACACGTGTACTTAACATACAGGTAAAACACACAAATAAATCTAAAAAACACTAAATATGGAAAAGCAGTGGTTACCAAGATGAACACAAAGCAAGCCCTAGGGTGCCTATATATAAAATCCTCTAGGCTGTTGTGTGAGGCACATGCCTTTAATCCTAGCACTTAGGTGCAGAGGCAGATGGAGCTCTGAGTATGAGGCCCCCTAATCCACATAATGAGTTCCAGGCCAGTAGGGCTACACAGTGAGACTCTGTGTCAAAAACAACCCCTCTAGTGACAAATATGGCTTACATCTGTAATCTCAACACTTAGGGTTGCAGCAAGGTGAACTTGAAGACAGCCTGGGTTACAGAGAGAGTTCCAGGTATGCTGAGCTACAGAGTTAACTTTTTCTCAAAAACAAAACAAAGTAAATGGTTGTTCACTCCAATTAGAGAGGCATCAACAACAGACCTGTGAAACCACCCCTGTCTCCATGAGGGAATGCCCAATTTTGGTAGAATCTCATGTGGTGGTCATAGCTGCTCTGCATCTGGACAGGAATGGTCATGTCAAGCTTAGAGAAAATAGTTAAACTACACATTAAGATACAGGGTGGTAACAGCACCCTGATCTATGTAAACAATACCATGGAATCTGTTAAAGAAAAATACCCAGGAAATTCAACCAGGTTGCAGAATTCAAGACCATGGAAATATCAACATATTTCTATATACCAACAACATTTGCAACTATTCAAAACTGCACTTAGGTATAAATCTAAAAATATGCATTAGGAACATGGATGCTAGAAGTTATACTCTGTAGAAATTGAAGATCTAGACATTTACTGCTGGAAAACACAATAGTAACCATACAGTCTCCCCAAAGTGATAGGTTTGATGGAATTTTTATTAAAATCCAGGAAATTTTTGTTGTAGATACAAACTTAATCTACACTTAATGGAAAGACAAACTTGGAATAGCTATGAGTTTGATAAGAGACTGTCAGCGTTAAAGATACCTGCCAGCTAGCCTGATGCCCTAAATTCAATCTCTAGTTTCCCACTTGGCAGAAGGAGAAGAACTGATTCCCACAAGTGTTCCTCTGTCCTCCATACATGCCCATGGTACATGCATATTGACATACACTCACACTAAATAAATATATTTTATTAGTTTGATAAGCAACTAAAGTGGAAAAAATGTAGTGTTAGAGGAGAAATAGTCATATAGATTAATGAAACAGAGCAGAGAGCTAAGGACCAGTTCCACAAGCAGGGTCAGTTAACTACACAAAGGTGCAAAAACCAACTCAGTGGAGATGATCCTTCTAACAACGGGCAGTGGAACGGAATCACAACATGAACCTTGAGTCTTACATGAAGCTTCATTTATAGGAGAGTGAAGGTAAGTCAGATGTAGTGTCACATGCCTTTTGGAGGAGGAGGAGAAAGGAGAAGAAGAAGGAGGAGGAGAAGGAGAAAGAGGAGAAGAAGGGAGAAGAAGAAGAAGAAGAAGAAGAAGGAAGAAGAAGAAGAAGAAGAAGAAGAAGAAGAAGAAGAAGAAGAAGAAGAAATAGTAATAATAGTTTGAGGCCAACCTGATCTACAGAGCAAGATCCAGGACAGGCACAAAAACAACACAGAGAAACCTTGTCTCGAAAAAAAACAAAACAAAAAATAATAATAAAAGTGAAGGCAAAACTCTTCAGAATCCAGGGTTACGTTCTTAGGCATGATACTGATATCCAGACTTACTTTTAAAAATGGTGAGCTGGGTGGTAACTGGGTTTGTTGAAGGACATCAGCTGTGAAATTTGTGATTTGGGCAGAGATTGAAATCATGGCTGGTCCAGAAACTGATGGCCAATTACAATTTACTGGTATTAAAAAGTATCTCAACTCTTAGAGTCTCACAGGTAGGATGAATTGTGTACTGGCCACATACGGAGGCACTGCTTTGTTGGTCTTATACTTCAAGGCCTAAAAAACTCCAGCTGTGAAAGCAACATAAATGGACTTTGAAATGTCTGACCTCATATTAAGTCTCGTGCCTGAAGAAGCTGATGTCAACTCATCATGTAAGACTCAGTTTGTACAATAAATTATGAAGCAGGAAAAAATGGTGAACTGGGGGACTTGAAGATATGGCTCAGTGGTTAAGAGCACATATTGCTCTTCCACAGGACCTGAGTTTGGATCCCAGTATCTATGTCAGGTGGCTCCCAACCACCTGTAACTCCAGCCTCAGGGAATCTGATGTCCTCTGGCCTCTACAGGCAGGTACCACCATGTCTGGCTTTCTACTAAAATGAGATACACCAACAGCAGTGGCTTTATTCTCAGTGTGAGATGACTTTGAGAAGGGTGAACAGCACCCAGAACAGCAGGATAGAAGGACAGGGAAATCATCTGGTGTGAGAAGGAAAACCTCACTGCTGGGCTTCCTGTCACAGTCCTTTAGTCTCAGCACTTGGGAAGCAAGTGGATCTCTGTGAATGTGAAGCTAGCCTGGTGTACATAGGGTGTTCCAGGCCATCCATAGCTACATAGTGAAACCCTGTCTAAAAAAAAATAACAAAACTGATGACTGAGAATCAAGAATTTCAGCATGATAAGTCACATTTGCCATGAAAGCAGCCAACATAGGGTTAACACTCCTTTCATATAAATACTGTATGTTAAAGTAGCAATAACCCAGGCTTGAGGCCTAACTGTGTGTGACCTTGGGCAGCACCTCATTCATTTCCAGAGAATCTCAAACAAAACTTTCCTGTAGCTGAAGTTTTCCTGGTCCTGCCAGGCCCACGGTCAGGACAAATCTCTCTCACCTACCAGTCCCACAGCCACTTGGACCCAATCAAACACACAAAGACTTATATTACTTATAAACTGTATGGCTGTGGCAAGCTGCTTGCTGTCTGTTATTATACCTTAAATTAGCCCATTTCTATAAAACTATATCTTGCCACGTGGCTCGTGGCTTACCGGTATCTTACATCATGCTTCTCCTCATGGCAGCTAGCAGTGTCTCTTTGACTCAGCCTTCTTCCACCCAGCATTCTCCTCTCTCCTTGTCCCGCCTACACTATCCTTCCTGCCTGGCTACTGGCCAATCAGCATTTTATTTATCAATCAATCATAGCAACATATATTCACAGCATACAGGATATCCCACAGCACCTTCCTGTATCCCTGTGGGGCTAGACTTTTACCTTATCAAATGTAATCCTGACAGGTACCCCTCAGAACCACCCAGCAAT